GAAAAGAAAAAAAAAAAGAGAAAAAAAGACAAAAAAAAAGTGATATTCTCTCTTTTCTCTTTCTATTTCTAACCCATTTATAGCTGGGGAATTAAACGGGTTATATATTTTGAAATACATTTACAGTATGTCTATATTACTGTAACAGCAGATATCATCAAGGCAGATTCCTAGATTCCAACCTCCATTAGATTCTCACTGTTGTATTAATAATTTTCAGGTGCTAGCTGCATTTTAAAAGGAGTCCAAAGCTGCCCAGTGCCCGGGGGTAATATATTTCTTGAGTGCCATGTGTGCATTTTCAAAATCTCCCCGAGGTTTTCTCCGTGTTCTCATCTGTTATGCACCAGTTTTCAACTGGAAACATTCACATTTTAAAAGCATATGCGGTGTGCAGCTATGAGCTGCGGCCATCAGACCTGGTGGAGATTCTTTACAACACTAGTAAACCATGAAACATAAAAGACTTTGTAGCCGCAATTTAACTATTAACCCTAAAACATAATTGAACGTGGTTTTTCGATTATTCCTATAACGTTTAGTTCCTTTACACTCGCTCGCCCCCTTTAATGGGCGCCGGTGTTTCTCCATGCAGGTATACGCAGGACCGAACGGCAGGCTCCGGCTGCCGGGGGTGGCAGCGCTCAGCCCCGTTTCACGCTGGTTGCTCTTTCCCCGTAGCAAAAATCTCGGTACTGTCGGGAACGGCGAAGTGTCCTTACGCCGAGCAAAGCGCCGCGTACACCAAAACCACCACTTTTGTTACAAGAAAAAAAAAAAAAAAAAAAGAAAAAAGAAAGAAGGAAAGGAAGGCGGACGTGCGGCTGGGCCAGGTTCGCTGCCCGCGGGGCCAACCCGGAGCTTTGCTCGGCGCTCGGCTCTGCCGCTCTGCTCCTGCCGAGGGCACAGAGCTCTGCCCCGTGGCATATTTCATTCGGCATTTTGGCATTATTAGTTCCTCCTTTCTGGGAGAGGGAAGAGCGGGGACGGGCGCCACTCCCCTCGCCTCATCTCTGTCCGAGCGATGGGGCTGCGGGGAGCTTCGTCCCGGGGCGGATACGCGGACCCCCTCGTCGCAAGAAGGTGCGGCTGTTCACGCAGCGCTCGCACGGCGGCTCGTAGGGCCGTAGCCGCGCGGGGGGCCGGAGGAGACGCGGGAGGGCGAGCGGGCTGAGGAAGGGCGGGGGCCGCTCCGGACCGCAGCGCGCCTCGCGGGCCCCTCCCGCAGCGCCCCCTAGCGCCGGGCCGGGAGCGCCCGACGGGGCGGGGGAGGATGGGGGTCGGGGAGGGCAGGACGGGGCGGGTGTCGCTAACGGAGCCTGTCGCTGCGGCCCCCAGGTGTGGTTCCAGAACCGCCGGGCCAAGTGGAAGAAGCGCAAGAAGACGACCAACGTCTTCCGCGCCCCGGGCACGCTGCTGCCGACGCCGGGGCTGCCGCAGTTCCCCTCGGCCGCCGCCGCCGCCGCCGCGGCCATGGGCGACAGCCTCTGCTCTTTCCACGCCAACGACACGCGCTGGGCCGCCGCCGCCATGCCCGGGGTGTCGCAGCTGCCGCTGCCGCCGGCGCTGGGCAGGCAGCAGGCCATGGCGCAGTCCCTGTCCCAGTGCAGCCTGGCGGCCGGGCCGCCGCCCAACTCCATGGGGCTCTCCAACAGCCTGGCGGGCTCCAACGGCGCCGGGCTGCAGTCGCACCTCTACCAGCCCGCCTTCCCCGGCATGGTGCCCGCCTCGCTGCCCGGCCCCAGCAACGTGACGGGCTCGCCGCAGCTCTGCAGCTCCCCGGACAGCAGCGACGTGTGGCGGGGAACCAGCATCGCCTCCCTCCGCCGCAAAGCACTAGAGCACACAGTCTCCATGAGCTTCACCTAATGGCCGCCGCCCCGCGCCGCCGCCGCCGCCTCGCCCCGCGTCCCCGCTTCGCCTGCCCCCGCTCCCGGCCCCGCTCCCGGCCCCGGCCCCGGCCCCGACCCCGACCCCGACCCCGACCCCGATCCCCATCCCCATCCCCATCCCCATCCCCATCCCGATCCCCATTCCCATCCCCATCCCGGTCCCCACCACCCTTGCCCCGGCCCCCGCCTCGGCGGACCCCCGCCTGCCCCCACCTGACTTACCAGGGAGTCGACTCAGGATCTGAAATCAGACGCCACCGGACTGGTTTGTGGGCCGAGACCCCCTCAGCCCTTCCCGCGTCCCCCCCACTCCCTCCCGCCCCCCGACGGCCGCCTCTCTCCAGCTGCCAGGGGCACCCCCGGCCCTGCCTCCCGCCCGTCCCCCGCCGCGACCCGCCGCCTGTCCGCGCGGCCCTGCCAAGAAATGCGATTTGGTTTTGGTTTCGGTTTATTTCTCAAGAGTAGCGACCCCCGCCCGCCCCGTCCGCGGCGAAGGCAGTGCCGCCGGGGCACGGGCGAGCGGGCGCGCGGAACGGCAGGAGAGCGCCCGAGGAAAATCAAATCCATTTCGAAAAAGCATTTACAAACGAAAGAGAGAGAAAAGGGGATAAAAAAAAAAACAAAAACACATAATCTTTTGTTTTTGTAAACGTAAAAAAAAGAACGCGCGTTAAAAAAAAAAAAAAAAAAAAAAAAAAAAAAAGCAAGAGCACTTCCCTTTTTCGGACCTTTGATTTTGTGATGGTTTAGTTGCCAATCTGCCCCACGTTTATTTATGCATTTATTTACGTTCCTGCTGCTATTGTCCCTCCTGCATCTTCCGCTGCCGCCGGCGGAGGCGCCCGCCGCGGCCGCGGCCCCCGCCCCGCCCGGGCCGGCCCCGCGGTCCGCCCGCCTGCATGTGCCGGTCACCCCGCCGCAGGGCAGGGCCGCTGGAGGAATGAGCAAACAATGTGAAATAGGATGTTTTGTGTAGATGAAGCATTCTTGTTACATGCTGGTCGATTTGTGCTATGTTTTAACTTATTGTCTGTGCTAATTTATTGAATTTTGCGTTTCTTAATAAATGTTTGAGCTAATATAAAGCATATCATTTGACCTTTCCCGACGAGTTTATATCAAGTTAATGTAAACGGATAAATAAAATCATTTGCGGTATGTGATATGAAGGATTCAGTGTGGCGTGTGAGATACGAGAGGTGTCATGAACTGCAGGTGAAAAGGAAAAAGAAGGAAAAACAAGATTTCTTGCTTTTGGGTTCACAGAATCCCTTGTCATACGTGTGGGAACGGTTTGCTTGCTTGAATTTTGCATCAAAGCGTGTCATTTATCAGGATTTTAATACTTCATGATTAATAAACTTTTGTTAATCTTTCTGCGTAATTGGCCTTTCCACTGCCAGGAAGGAGAGGCTCCGTTGCGGCACGGGGTGAAGGCGCAGCAGGGCTGGGGGATGCGGGCCTGGGCTGCAGTGCGGAGAAGCGCTATGTGTCCCGGTGCTGCCCCAAAAGGAGACGCACGGCTGCCGGTGGTTTGAGCCCGTGGAACCCCTCAGTTCGGTCCCATGTAAAGTTTGATGCAGTGTATGGGGGGAAGGGGGGGAGGAGAGGAGGGAGGGAGGGATGAAGAACTTTGCCAAGCAACTCGCAACCTGTTTTTCTTTCTGCTTTCCTTCCCTTCTCTTTTCATTTTGTGCGCTGAGATCTCTTCCCCTTGTACATCAATTACACACTTCTTAATTACGCACCTGAGAGTGCCCAGCTCTTGTAGGCACCCGCAGAAGGGTCCTTGCCTGCTCCAAAGTGCATATTATACACACACATTTAATTTAAAAGAGAAATAAAAGGAGGATAAATTACTGAAGCTCCAGGCCAGCAGTGATCCTGATGGGGGTCACTTGGGGAAGCAGCTCTATGCCCTTTGGCAGAAACCTTGGTGCCAAAACAGCCTGCGTTCTACTCTGTGAGTGGAAAGGGGTGCTCCTGTCTCCAGCTCCCCCCTCCCCAGCCCAGCCTTGGGCCGTGCCCTGCTGCACTGAATCAGAAATCCGGGGTCAGCCTTCCAGATCAGTGTGCAAAGGAGAGGGGGGGGGGCCAGGCCTGCCTCCTGCATGCTGCTTTCCTCCTGCTGGGGGACAGGTGGGTGCCTGCCTGAGTGCGGGGAGTGCAGATCTCACCCTGCTTCTCCCAAATGTATGGAGGGTTGTTTACAGGCATGTAATTTTTACTGCTGCCTTATATCGCTGTAAGCAAGACAGCTTTATGATGTAGGAGTGCAGTAAAGTGCGGTATGGAAGATCTTTAAAAAAAATGTGCTTTTTAATGGAAGAGAAAAATGCTCTCTCTGGTGGGGGGCAGAGGATTGAGACACAACACACAACATCCAGCTCTTGACTCTGAACATCATCGCCTATGAAGAAGCTCTGCAAAGGCCCTCTGGTTAATTCTCACTCCCAAGACATCCATTATTTCCTCCATATTCTAATGAAACTGTTGTCCTGGTTATGGGCAAAGCTTTCTGATCCCACCAACTTTGATACAACATTTGTTTCCATGGCAATAGATCTTTGTGTTCTGAGTGCTGGAGATTTTTGAAATTATACATACCCTCAGCACCAGCTGAAGCTGTGCAACATACAGCATCTAAGCCGACACTCTCATGTTTGATGTTGACAAAAGGAAGGAAACCTCAGGTTTCACCTGTATGTATACATCATGAGTTGTGTGTGAACAAACTTCTTACAGAACCTCACCCTCACTGATATTAAAATACAAAAAAAATTAAGAAACACTGGCTTGTTCTGTCTAACAACAGGAGCAGCTAAGCTTCATTCACATAAAGTGATGAAAATAAATGAGAGAAATCCGTGTAAATCGAGAGGAGACATTTACGTGGAATAACAATTAGCCTATTACTGACTAAGTAGCTAACTTCAGGCACTGGGGCTGCTGCAAACCAGGTTTATTCGCTTACCTGAAGGTATGTTTCTGCCCTGAGTGACTTCACTCAGCTTGTAAATCGGCTCTGATTTAAGTTTATGTGCATAGATTCACTTCTACACCAGCACATATCCACACAGGTTTACTTCCCTCTAAAGACAGCATCACCTCTGGAGTATAAGGAATGTACATAAAGATATTGTCACTGAACCTTTCATTTGCTCTCTTGATGAAATGCTCTTACACTCTCCCTTTCCTGTCTCCCTCCCCTCAAATCCCCCTGGCAGGCTGAGCCCGCTCTTACCCTCAGCTGGAGATTGCATTCGCCAAGCAGCTATTAACATCGGAAGAAAGTTTGTGCAAGGCAGGAGATCGTATGACACTGCGGTACAGATTACATTATTGTGCTAGCAGCAATGATCCCTGCTCCTAGAAATGAAAATGCGGTTTAATTTGTGTTGTGGTCTTTAAATTTTCATTTTCCAGAATAAAAATCTCCGAACATGAAAATGTATCTTACAGTAATGGAGGTATGGCAGTTAACCTGTCAGTTGAAAGTATGTAACCTTCCTTTTCTCCTTTTCATGACAAAGGTAATCTCATCTGAGGGCATTTATGTGAAGAAATAACAGCATGGCATGGTGAAACCGCTGGCTCATTAATCCTGGCATCCACTTCCTGCAGGGTTTCTTGATTAGTTAGATTCATTCATCGGGTATTTCGGAGTTTTTGATTTCTCACCGCTGGCTAGGTTCACTGAGTTCAGGCTAAATTGAGCCAGAAGCAATGTTTATTAGTAATTTTGTAATACAGACTGCCCTAATAATTCAGTACAAATATCTCATCTGAAATACATCCATTCACCCTAACACCTAATGCAGTTTGCAGCTGTGTTCAGAGGGAACGGAGAGAACACAAGTGATTGGGCATGTATTTTCTAAATTATTAATATGAGAGCTAATAGAGAACTCCTCTTCATTTCCAATGCTGGAATTAAGGAGCCTTTCCTGGAAGCAGGCCCTGGCACTGGGGGACCCCTCCTGCCTGCCAGTGCCGTGTGGGCCTGGGCCATGTGCCCTGTGCAGCCCTGCAGAGATGGCCCGGGGAGAACAAAGGGATTCTGGCTTTTCTCTGCTATATGATACAAACATGGGGAAGAAATAGGAAGGCCAGGCACAGGCCACACGCAGGCACCTGGCTGCAGCTGGTGCCATGCAGCTCATCCATAGGTGGGAGCCAGGGCCCGCAGGCCAGCCTGACCCCATAGCCATACACAGGGTGCCCAACCTGTGGGCATGTCAGCCAGCAGCCCTGGATGGGCTCAGGGAAGCAGGATTTGCCCCACATGAACAGCACCCTCAGGATCCTTTCAAGTACCACTGTCTGATCAGGAGGAAGACCAAGGTGGGCAGAAAGGAGGAAGCAGGAACAGCACTGGTTTAATTTTTTATCTCATCACGATGAGAACCATCGGCGGTAGGGGATTGTCTTTGATTAGCCATCATTCTTTGATTCGGATGGAGCTCAGTGAGCACATTAGAGGCCCTGTGTGAGATTTACTTCTGCTCCTCGGAGAAAAAACGGCAGGAGGGTGTCTCTCCTTTCATCCTTCTCACAGCCAGGGCTCGCACACAGATGAGCCTGCCTTTGTCTTCCACCTGGGATGCTGTATAATGGTATGGGTGAGAGGTCGCCGCTCTTATTTGCCAATAAATTGTGCTTGCTACAGCATCTCCCGAGACCATGCTCAGGGCTCAAAAACTCTGCCTTACTTTCTGCATCTTTCATCAGTGCTCATGCTTATAAGCGTTTTTCCAGAGCTAAAATTATGCTGTTACGAGCTTTGAAACCCATCAGAGGAGACTCTGGAGGAAGGAGCCCAGAGGTATTTGGGCAGGATTTGCTACTTGAAGTTACACAACTGTGCTGTAGAGATCCTCACCCTCCTGTGGAGGTCAGAGGGAAGATGCAGAATATGCTTAACAGGCTGCCTGCAAGGGTGACACTCTCTGTGACCCCTATACGAGGTCTGTGCCT